CATTTCTAGAGTTTGACATACGGACAATACGTCGTCGTTTTCGTAATGTAGAAGCCCAATAGAATAGGCCCAAAAACAGAGTAATATATAAGAACATAACGTTGAAGATTTTCCGTTACTGTTTAATGGAAAGGTTAAAGAGTTTGTATATAAAAAAAAAAACAATTTATAGAAAACAAAACAAATTTTAGAAGCAAACCAGGCAATTCTTAGAATGTGAAACATAAACCGGTTTTATTTTGTTGATTCAATCAAAAATCATCCGGAATTAGGCTTTTTGGATTTTGCTGGTCTTTGGTAAACCCGGTTTAGCACAGGGCTTCTTTGTGATCACATTGGGTGATAATTTCTCCGATTTTGTAGCTGGTTTGATCGGTTTAGTGACTTGGCATTGAGCCCTAATCTCCCAAGGTCGAGCCGAAATCCACCGTTCTTTCCAACTCCATCCCCAGTTCTCTTTGTCTAGGTTAAACGAAGCTTGACCTAGATACTGTGTAGCATTAGCTCTCCACTGCAAAAACCAATAACCAGTAACTTGAGCTACAAGATATCTAAAATACAAGCCAATCAATGTATAGTTTGTTACGAGTTCCAACATAGTTAAAGGTCATTGACCTGATGAGAGAAAGCATAAGCCAGTGCTCGTTCACGTTTCACAGTAGCTTCTTCTCTCTGTTGTATCCTCGCGAGAATCTCCTCCATTGTTTCAGATCCTCCACACCATTCAACTTCTACCTCTTGAAGCTTGATCTCGAGTTTCAAACGATTCTCTAATCTTTTGTGATGGAGTCTACCTTGTGTCACCATATACAAACGTCTTGCTCTGATCTGACTCTGTATATCGCACCAAGAATGCATTACATTGAGTGCAGTCGAAGTTTGGTTCCTCACCGTATGGCTTTGGATCAATGAGTTGAATCTCTTTGCGCATTTCAAGCTCGATAGTCTTTTTCTCGCCTGCAGATTCACAAGAAAGGTTACAACATGGAGGTATAAATCAGTTTCTGTTTTTTCAAATGACAAACCTTGTGTGCTCGAAAAGCCTTTTGAATGCGAATAACAGCGATTTCTTGGGTAAGCGTAGTGGAAGCAGAGCTTGATTCGATCGGTTTGACGCGGTTTGATGTTTCAGAATGTACCTAACAAGAAACATATTTTCTTAAGTCATTAGTATATTAGAAAGAACAGAGAATGAAACAGAGTTTTTTTTACTAACGTTGCCTTGATTTGATTTGTTCTGTTTTGTTCCTTTTAGACAGATTATAGAGCGAAGCAACCATCCAGTTCCCATACCAGAAGATTATCAGTATAAAACTGAGAGATTCAGAACATACAAAAATGTTCTAATGGATAATGTTGGCTGCAAGATTGAGCTAGGTTATGTGAAAGAGAGATGATAGATTCGAATGTCTTCTTTCTTTTAAGGCACAAGAAGATTAATGTGGAGTGGTTTTTAAGAGATTGAGAGAGATGAAGCTTCGCTCTCTCTGTGGTGAATAAATCCATCTTTGTGATTGACATTTCACCCAATGGTGAAGGTGTTGTTTTGATCTTTTCTTCAAATACAAGGTGGGGTTGTTTCTGATCAATTTAATTATTTTGGGCCCAGATTGAGGAAACTGATCGAAATATAAAGGACGAGATGGTAATATATGCAGGGTGACAAAAAGGTCATAATTTAAAAAAGCAGACCTTCCGCAATTGCTCCCGGCGGGGCTCGAACCCGCGACCTTCGGCTCATAAGACCAACGCTCTGACCAACTGAGCTACGGGAGCTGCTTGATTGTTATATTCCACAATCTATTATAATTCTCTGTTTTATTATTCGTCTCTTATTCATCTTCTCTTCTCTACTATGTTTTGGCACCAGAGCTTCTATCTTATATAATCAACTTGTATAAATGTTTGATATTGAAGCATTATTGGTTTATATGCCCTTAAAGATGCAATATTGACTCTGAAAATTAATCAGTAGTTACACTAGTTCTTAAAAAAACAATCATTAAAAAAAATTAGTTTCTTGGCAGAATTTCTTTTTAACAAACTATGTAAATGAGACTTCTCCGTTCTCTATGTATAACGGTTTAATTGTTCTCACTCTCGTCTTTCTTCACCATTATTACTCCAACTCGAAGAGAACACAGAAACCTTGATTTGATTTAATCGATCAAGAAACAGAGTCATGTTGGGAGGTGGTTCATCAGAAGATCCCGACGACAAGAAGAACGATAATGAATCTAATCACAAGCTTACTGAAGAAAACAGAGACGTCGACTCGGCGATGATTCCGATATCAGAGACCACAAAGCCGAGAGAAAGAAACTCTGGGATTACAATACGAGAGCCCACAGGGTCACAATCAGTTCTTGCTAGTCCTTTGAAAAACCTGAAAATACTCAGAGAATCGATCGTTGGGTCATCATCATCATCGGTTGTTTCAGTTGCATTACCAATAGAGATCTCTAGTCAATCTTTCAATGGCGGAACCATTACTACTACAACAACTTCTTTTTCTTCTTCGAGTATTCCAGTTGCAGTCCCGCAAGATCGTCGAGTTGAAACAGAGGCCATTACAACATCGTCGAGTTTGTCTGTGATTCCTTCTTCTTCGAGCCTTCAAGATTCCGTCTTTGGTTCATCATCATCAGGTTCAAACAACACAAGACCATCGAGTAGTCTCCCATACTCTGTTCCTTTGGGGTCATCAACACCATCTTTCTTCAATGGTACAATAAGATCCAAGATCGTATTTTGTCTACTGTTGTAGTATTGATTGCGTTTCTTCACAAAAGGTTTCTTTTTTTTTCTTTTTAATCTGCAGATGAGTTTAGTCCAAAGTTATGGAGGTCGACCACAAGATTACCTCACGACTGCTATGACACGACCTCATGGTTTGACACAATTTCATCCAAATTTGCCAATCGCTGATGGTATCCCAATTGCTATCCGAAGATATAGTCAACCTCGATTGGATTCCATTACAAGATCATTGAGTTTGTCTCTCAATCCGGCGAACCTGTCCATCTATCGGTCACAACAACAGCCACAGCGTCCACTGTTTCTGCCTCTCGATCCAAATATGAGGAACCTAATTGCAACTGCAGTCCTAGGAAACAGTCAAGCTCCAGCGGAAGACATATCAAGGATCTTCCGGATTGTTTCTGACATTCCGTCTTCTTCGAACCTTCACGGTCCCAACTTTCAGCCATCGATTCAAGGAAACATGACAAGACCATTGAGTGTCAATCCTCACATTCCACATTCTGTTTCCAGGCCAATACGAGCGACTACACTTTCAGATCTTGTGGGGTCATCACGTAGTGTTCAAGCTCAATCCACTAACCAACAACAACATCACCCTTCTTCGTCTTCTTTAATGGTATGATAAGCTCCAACTTCCAAGATGGTATTTACTCTGTTTCTACTGTCATTGTCACCAAAAGTAAAAGGGCTTTTTCTTTTCTGCAGGGTCTACCACAACATCACCTAAGACCCTATGATTTGAGTCAGCAGCCTCCATTAATGTTGCAGGATGTTGGAGGAGGTTTGGATCTTAATCTGCCGGCTAATAATGAAGATGATGATGGAGAAGAAGATGAAGGTTTGGATCTTAACTTGCCGGCTCCTGATGAATGATGAACCAAACTAAGAGGAAGTTTCGATCACAGTTTATAGTATAACAAAAAAAAACAGAGGATTATTAGACTATTATAGAGCCAACTAACTAATCGCAGTTAGTATATATTCTCAAATTGTATAAAGAAAGATTGATCATGTAGACTAATGATGGTGATTCGAGCTATTTCTCGGATTTCAAACTAGTGAATGTTGTTGTCTATTGTGTTTGTCACAGAGAATTAAAGGAAGAATTTTGATTTGTTGATGGTGTGAGAGTTAGTTAAGAGAATGTGATAATTAACGACTTTTTCAATCTTATCACTAAAAAAGGTTTTTTCTCAAATACCCGACCCGATGCTACTCGGATCTAGATCCGACCCGTAAGTAGATCTGCGCAAATTTCATCCATTTGCGTCTCTCTCCCTTTCAAAGGCTCAAAATTTAAATC